TCTTGCCAAGCGACGAAAACCCAACCCCGATGGCAAACACGGGGGGGGGGGGAGAGGATGGGGATGCGTTATGCCACAGGGGCGCAGCGAGCACCGACAACAGCCAGGTGGAAACTCTTAAGACGACCTATTTCAGCACTCTAAGAAATAAACAAGCAAGGATCAGGGCAGCCGTGATATTGCTCCTACAACAACGCCAGTGCTAGTGACCAACACGCTGTCGCCTGCTTTTTTAGCAGTTTCAGAAGGCTGATCAATTTGGCTGAAGGTGAGGAAAACGCAAACTTCGGGTTTCGTCGGATTTCACGATCAATTTCAATCTTAGTAGAGCATGAAGGAAGAGAACACATGTCGTACATAGTTGCGTGAGGGGTACAAATCACCGCGCCGTTTGAACGAGAGGCGAAAAAATGAAGACCGACGGTTTCATGCCGCAGTCGTCCTGAACTGCCATACCGTGAGCCTAACCACACGTACGCCACTCCAAGGCGTTTGTAACTCCACGCACACGACAGGAAAGCTGTGAGAACGTCTAGAAGCCGGGAGTACTGAGAAATCCGATCCTCACCTTAAGCTTCCTCACGCAGAGGTGCATACGCTAGTTGCATCCCCACCTGACATGACGGTGTGCAATAATGAGCATCCACATCGGCGACCATTGCTCTCTTCATGCCGTCTACTCTCGCTCGCAGTTTCTACCTCACGATATATCCTTTACTCTCCAACAAATGAGCTCCGACTCGAGGTCACACAGCCTCATATCTGTTCGTGTTGTAGCAAGAGAAGCGTTCAGTCGCCTTTCGCTCAAGAGTACTCACGAATGGGCTACAATGGAAACAACACACCTTAGCAGCGAGGTTTGCGAGATCGGGAAATAGGACTGAAACGTCTTGACGAAGTCAAGGTCGTGGGCAGGCGCCAGGGATCCGGGGGCCCGCACCAGATCGGGCCGGCGGACCACAACGGCTCCCTGGATGTGCGACATCTCCTCTCCGAGGTCGCCCCCCTGGTACGTGTGTGCGTGCATCCCCTGCAGGAGATAGATAGATAGATAGATAGATAGAGAGAGAGAGAGAGAGAGAGAGAGAGCAGGTGGAGGTGATACGTCGGTGGATGCTTGGTGGTGGGCACAGGCCGGAGCAAAACCTAAAGCGGGAGTTCTAGCACAGTGGTACGACCAGAAACTGAATGGAGGAAACGAGTGAACGACCGAGCGCAGTACATACTAATAATGCATATATGGGTAATGTTGATATCCAGTGATAGCGGCAGTAGGTTTGACACTCACAAGACAGCACGGCGGGCTCGGGCATCGCAGTCGAGATGATGCGGTTGAGGCCTGCCGCAGCCTTTCCCACACAGACAAGGCGCCGGCAATCACAGTCGACGGCCCGGCGTTGTCCCGGTCTTCTCGCAGTACCGCAGCGTTGGATTTATGGAGGGTAACCGGACACGTACCGTTGGTTGGAGGTGTGGTGGCAGCGCGGTAGATGTGTGGCAAGGGACTATTCCCATTTTCTGAGATCTCTGGTTTGAAGGAGAGCTTTGAATCCCCTTCTGTTGCTCTGTCCAGTTTTCGGTGCTCTTGCCCCCACTCCTGCTGGTCATGGTGGTTCCGTGATGATACACGGGCATATGGAATACGCTCCTGCTCGGTCAGCGGCTGTTGGTGACGTTGGCGGTCTCCTCGCGAGAATGGATATTCTTCGCGTCGTAGTCGGTGTGGGCGAGGCAAATGTCGCCCTGATGCTATTGTTGCTGCTGCTGCTACTGTTTGATCCTCCTTTCCACCCCTTTGTCCAATGATTGGAGATTTCTCGGCTAGGGCTGGTGGCATTGTCAAGGAGTTCTGCACGAGCACCATCGTCAGCAAGAGTCCCTGCGCCGCGCGTTCGGGAGAAACATCAGAGGTGAACCAACACGTTGATGTTGTTGTCATTGTCTTCACAAAAAAAAAAAACGGTCCGATCTCTCTCTACCCAGTACCTTCGTATGTCCGTACTGATCCAACACTCGACGCCGTCGATTCATGTTGTCACAGGCCAACTTACCCTAAAAAGGTACACTCAAATAAACTGGCCCCGAGGGGTCCGCAAGTCAATAGAAATCAACGACAGATATCCTGGAGTCCTCCACTCCCTCTGCGCGCTATGCGAGGTAACAACTATACAGAGTGTGGGAAGCGTAGGCTTCCCTGCCGTCGTTGTGTTTGGTCCGGCAGCGGCAAGCACAATATTGCGATTTCGACTCCACGGTGGACATCGCGAGAACTACATATACTGTAGTCGTCATCGTGAAAGAATTTCAACTAAACGGTCAACGCGATGTGAATCTACGTTACATGCAAAACCTTCCTTGATGGTTCGCCCTGCGAAGTCATCAGCCATCCTAGCGGTACATACCAATCTGACCTTAACAGCAAGACCGAGAATGTTAACACCTCTTCCTCGGTGTCAACAGACTCGTGGCATTTCGGACGTCAGTGTGAACCCGTCGACTGTGCGTAACCCCTAGACTGTATGTTTGCCTGTTGGATGGATATGATGCCCACCTGCCCCGATCTTGATGTCCATTTCTTAATTGTGGAGCCTGTTCGCCCCATTTCCCTCATACGTTCTTCTTGGGTGCGCGGCGTGCTCGGCGAGTTTCCCGTCACTCGGGGGAGCGTCGTCCCAACAGTTTCACACAAACAGGCAGAGTTAGACCACGGTGCAACATAACTTTCATACAAAGGACTCCGGATTTTTGGCGCCACCAGGCGCCCAAGTCCTCATGATTAGGCTGGAGGCATTCGTTCTGAAGTCGGTGACGTTGATGATGAACTGCGTTGGATTAGGATGTGCGATTCATATACGCACATACCAAGGGCACGATGTTAGAAAACACTTCAAGTCCCTTTAGAGAAAGGCATGTGTGGCTATTGTTGCTGATTGCAGACGATATAAAGTAGAATCTTGACAATTGCATAGCAGCAATGGTTGACCCCCGGTGGTACGCCTTACCTCGGAAGAATTTCATGCATGTGTTTCGCCGTTGTTTCAGGAGGATACCATAAGTATTCAGCTGTTTGAGAGATGATGAGTGGAAAACGTGGGGTGGAAAAGTATGACGGGGGCGGGTGTGGCTCGATGTTTAACAGTTTGCGACAGAAACGTTGCGGCATGACGGAATTCGAACATCTCATTCATGTACTCAAGATAGGTCAGAAGTAGATGTATCCTTGTCTTGGCCACATGCACGCGGCGTCCTCCCGATATCAGTACTGGATTGCGTTGAAGATTCGAAACGAAAAGAGCCCGCCGTGTTACGCCCGAAACTCTCTCTTCCGCAGTGCTTTTCAACGCCATGCCAGGAACAACAACAAAAACGCCCTGTGATTGATGATGGGAAGATGGGCGACGAGACAAAAGATGCCCTAAAAAAGATAATCGAGGCAAAACACGTTGCAAACTGATTTGCACGCGTACCTACCTGCAACGCCAGCCTAGTTGCGCACGGCGGGAAGAATTCATGTCAATCTAATTTCCTTGGCGATGCGAGTCTTCTAGCATATCGGGGAAAGAAGAAGGGTTCGTTGAGCTGAACAAAAGCACTAAACGGCTGGGACGTTGATTGTAATCTAGCGCCGTTCAGTAGCACCTCTCTTTTTTACATCCTCGCGCAAAACGACCGTGAAGGAAGCATGTACAGGTTGACGCAAGCATGGTGCATTGCGAGCTCTGCCCGGGTAAGACATGCATTTGTTGGTTCGGACCATGTCGGCTGCGGTGGATTCCCGAGGGAAAAAAAATCGGCTGCACATGAACGTACAACGTACGCGAAAGTAATCAAATGTCGCGCGATCGAAATTATCGAATAATTATAATAGAGCCGGCACCGACAGGCAGGGTGTACTTCTTGATGTGTGTGTTGTCGTTCGATGCTGGTGCCCAACACTAGTACTGTCAGACAAACAAGGCATTGTTGCGTTCGTCCTCGTTTGGCCTACGCGCATGAATCGCCCGCGGCGCTGGTCGCGGGAGGAACGCCCAATCTGCCCAATCTCCCGCACTACTGGGAGCTTCGCTAGACCGCCCCATGGACAAGCGAGCATGGCAGTTGTCGACGGAAAGGGCATGCGCCATGTGTTGGTGAGGCTTGTTTAACCTCCTGTCTGGGTTCACGAATCCAAAGGTTGTTTGGGATCTTCTGTTGTTCACGCCTCATCTTGGGTGGTGCTGTTCAATGCCATGCGTGTTACCACACCAGGGGGGCTTTTCGAGTTTTGACCCCCCTTGGCTTTGCCCCTGCTGGCACTGATGTCTCTTCACCGGTCAGCCCGTTTGCCCGCGGTCGATGCATACAACAAGTGATGATGCAACACGCACATCCATCTTGGGTGGTGCTGTTCAATGCCATGCGTGTTACCACACCAGGGGGGCTTTTCGAGTTTTGACCCCCCTTGGCTTTGCCCCTGCTGGCACTGATGTCTCTTCACCGGTCAGCCCGTTTGCCCGCGGTCGATGCATACAACAAGTGATGATGCAACACGCACATCCATCTTGGGTGGTGCTGTTCAATGCCATGCGTGTTACCACACCAGGGGGGCTTTTCGAGTTTTGACCCCCCTTGGCTTTGCCCCTGCTGGCACTGATGTCTCTTCACAGGTCAGCCGGTTTGCGCGGTCGATGCATACAACAAGTGACGATGCAACACGCACATCCATCTTGGCTGGTGCTGTTCAATGCCATGCGTGTTACCACACAAGGGAGGCTTTTCGAGTTTTGACCCCCCTTGGCGTTGCCCCTGCTGGCACTGATGTCTCTTCACGGGTCAGCCGGTTTGCGCGGTCGATGCATACGACAAGTGATGATCCAACACGCACTTCTCGCACCTGCACCAGCCTGTGAGAGACGTAGATCGAACTGCTGCAAGAAGTACAATTTCCAATTGAAAATTCAGAGTATGCTCTTGGATGGTCCCTCCGCTCTCCGCTTCCGCTGCACGTGGTATGATGATGATGAGAGACGGGAGGGTTAGAGCGGATGTCCGCGGGCGGATAGAGACTTGGCCCGTGGCAGTTCCTGCCCCTGTTCCCGGTTCCTCTGCTCTCCGTGTAGCTGGGTGCACTGGAGTACAGCAGTGGTATGCTGGCGGAGATGAATATGTATCGGGATATCGGAAGGCGGGTGTGAGAAGTGTAGACTTACCGAACACGCATTTTGCGTGCACAATATAATAGACCGATCAGGGAACACCGAGTTCTGTTCCCCGTTCCCTGTTCTGTGCCGCTATTTCCAAACCGATCCGAACATAAAAACCCAGGAAACACGAACATTTCGCCAAAAGTTATAAGCACTCATGCGTACTCATGGGTACACACAAACGACATGCACCCATACCCTTACCCTCCACAGACCGACAACACCACCTGCAGTTGGAAACAAGATGAAAATGTTCCGAAGCTCGAATCCCTGACCCGCCAAGCTGCACCGTACACATTCGTCCCTTCATCCAGCGACCAGTTGATTATCGACCAGGCGTAGTGTTTGTACTTCTCAATAAACTCTGGATGCTCTGCTTTGGCAGGGGCACGAAAAAACCGGAAAACCCTAATCCTAACCCCAAACCCACCCGATAGGTGCTAGGGGGCGCTGGGTTGCTCAGTTCTAGATTGTTGTGCCTGCATTAGGGCTAGGTTGGTGTTGACGAGGAGACTTCTAGGTTGTCACGGCTTGGGTGCTAGATTGGCGTTGATGGGATAATTCTAGGTTGGTGTTGTTGATAAACTCGTGGCTTCTGGGAAAATATGTTTTCATCTGTTGTATTGATGAGACCTTGCACCAGGAGAACAGGTCAAAAGGTGAAGTGAGCGAGGGTGGGGCCAGCACCGCAGCACCGCAGCACCGCAACATCACCCATATCGCTCGGCCAGAGCACAAAAGCAGAACACAAAAAAAACGGAACACAATAATAATATCGGAACACAAAGACTCAACTGCGACAGGGGCTAACGTACTTCACAACGTACCTTGAATCCTCTGGCGGATGCACTAAGAACACACTCACTCGCAGTATTGCACCATCCACGAGTGACATTCCTACGGAACGTTTCTCGCTGTTCTGATAATATGTGGCTACTCAGCGATCTGCAACGCCGACAGCAGTGTGTGTGTTGTGTGTTTTTCGTCCTATTTATTATTATAGCGACAGCAAGCAGTCCCCCCATTTTTCGTGGTGAGACGTGTACTACACCTACCTCAGGCCTTTCATTCAGCGTATGTAGACTACACTTTTCAGTGTGTTTTTTCGTACAACTTCAACTATCCAGGGTCGCCCCGGTGGTCTAGTAGGTACTCTCGCAACCTGCTAAGGGCCGGGTCATGGGTTCGAGTCCCGACAAAGTGAGTGAGTTTTTTCTCTATCAAATCTTGGTCTCCGTTGGAAGCGACGCGCTGCAAAGATCGTTGCTAGTAAACTTGATCGACTTCTTCATCAGTCGCGAGGGAAGGGATTGCTGTACAGCAGTAGCGGCTACGGTTTAAGAGAGGGTCGGTACAAGCCAATTTCACTCTCTTAAATCCGGCTTTCTGTTACATATATCGTGTTGGCTACGGTATAAGAGAGAATTACAGTATCTCACTATAAGAGAATATGCTCTTAATTCGTAGACAAAACTAGAGTAAACCAGGGTATTAACGAACACCCCCCCTTTACGAACACTTTTTTCAAATGCACGTCCCTCGGCGCACAATGCGCGGAGCCCCCCAATTTTTTTTTTGAAATCTTCAGTTTTCCGTTAGCTTTCGTTTGAGCACCTCCGCGTGTCGATCGGGTCAAGCACTCCCGAGATACAGCACAGCCCTCACCCACACCCCTTATGTGGGGCATCTTTGCCCTTTTCGGGGTCCTGCTGCTAAGCATGGGACGTAAGAGAGTAGACCCAGAGCAGGCCCAGAAGGCTGTAGATGCGGTACGCAGCGGTGAGATGTCGCTCCGCGTTGCTGCGAGGACCTACGGGTTACCGCTAGCCTCGCTGCACGACCGTGTGAAGAACAAGGTGGCCATAGATGCGAGGGTTGGTCCCGGGACTGTCCTGAGCAAGGAGGAGGAAGATTTCGTAGAAGACGTCTTGATCTACGCCTCCCGACACTTCTTGCTGTTGGGTCGGAGGGAGCTGAGAGACGCTGTGCGCAACATCTGCACCGACGGGCGCAAGGTGCCCTGGGACCCAGACAAGGGCCCTGGGGACAGCTGGCTTGAGGGGTTTATGGCGAGACACCCGGGTTTGTCGGAGCGAGCCACCCACATCTACGAAGCAAACCGGATTAACGAAGACGGCGAGCCTCGCCTTCAAGCTTTCTACAAAGCATGGGCGGAGTACCTGGAGGAGACCAAGCTCCCGCCGGAACGCATCCTCAACACGGATGAGACAAGTGAGTTAGGGCAAGGGTTGAGGTGTCAGTAGGTGTCATTGGGTGTCAGCGGTGTCAGTATCGACTGCTGTGGGTTCGTAGG